AGGGAGGGAGAGGGAGAGGGAGAGAGGGGGCATTTGTTAGGGAAATGACCTTGTGACTCTGGGGGCCGGGGACAAGGTGTGGCTCCTTTCAAGTCAGCACCTTCTACATCAAGGGCCTCCTGGGGGCCCCAGGCCGTCGTGGTGGCCCCTGGTCAGCGGTTCTCATGGTCATGCCGCAGAGTTTATTGAAGGGGTAGGAAAGGGAAAGGTCTGAGGGGAAGACAGACAGGAGGCCAGAGCCCTTTTCAAGGTGGCCCTTGGCAACGAGGGGGGTGGGCGGGGCTGGTAGATGGAGGTGCTCTGGTCGCAGGGTCCTCCCCGTCCGGGGTGGCATCTGTGGCCCACAGGACAGGGCAGCTGGGTGCTGGGTCTGTCCCACCCTCAGCCTGAGTCCACGGTGGCAGGGCTGTTTGGTGGCAGCAGGATTTATAGGTGACACCCAAAGGGGAGCCATCTCCAAACTCTGACACCCCGGGGCTGGAGCAGCCTTCTGTGTGACCCTCCTGGGTGGGTGCAGCGGGGACCATGTGCCACTCCTGGGCGTCCCTGGCCCAGAGCAGACTGGGCTGCGAGGATGGTGGATTTCCTCCCCCAGTGCCAGCCCCCAGAGGAGCCCAGCGCAGAGCCGCAGAGTCCCGGCCTCCTGGCCTCCCTGCCTCCCGGCCTCCCAGGGCTGGGCTTGCTGAGGGACTTGCATCGGTGGCCCTGTCCCCACGAGCAACCAACCAGAGTGCCCGGGTTGGGGCTGCTCTGCCAGCCCTGGATGTTCTCTTTTAAAGAAAGAAGGAAGTCTTGCCGGGCTGTGGGAGCCCGTGCCAAGGCCCAGTGATGCGGTGAGACCGTCGGGGGAGCTGTGGGGACAGGCCCCGGGGGACACCTGGCTCTGCTCAGGAAGGCCGGGCAGGCAGCACAGAAGTCAACCCGCGCTCCCCCCCACCCCACGGCCCCGCCTGGTCATGCGCACTGGGAGGTGCAGCTCAGGGCCCTCGGCCAGCAGAAGGTGCAGGGGTGGGGGGCGCACGCGGCCCAGCAGATGGGGGCACCTCTCTGGCTTGGGTTTGGGTTTGTGGACGTTGGCTGTGCTCCAAGGGCGTCTCCAGATGCGGTCAGGCTGCCGGGTGGGGCGGGAAGCAGAGCGGGATGGAGGGAGCCGGTCCCCCGGGTTACGAGCTGACCAGAGCGTTGGGAGGGAGAGGAGCCAGGCCAACGGGGCCTGCTGGTCGGAGAGTCCATCCCACCCAGAGAGAGGAGCCCGCGGGGACTCCCTCAGCGGTGCCGGTTGGCAGGCCGTGGGGACGGCGTGGCTCAGCCCTAATGAGGGCAGACAGGTGAGACGGACGGACGGACGGACGGACGGGGAGCAGGTGTGACAGAGAGCCCGCCTCCCCTGCTCAGGCAGGTCCCCTGGCAGGTACCAAGGACCCAGTGAGGCCCTCAGCCCATCGGTCACCTGCCTCCCAGGGAGGAAGAAGGGGCCAGTGCTTCAGCGGGTGTGGGCAGGGGCCAGATTTGGGAGAAGGCTGTCCACTCTCTGGGCGTCCACAAAGCCCCGGGGGCCCCTCTGGACCTCAAGATCCCGGCCCCCGGGGGGCTTCGGAGAGGGTGGAGGCCCTCCTGGCTCAGGCCCCTTGGCCACCGCTGCTGGTGGCCCGTTCCTTCTGCCTTTCCCGGCTCTGCCCAGGGAGGCCCTGCCCCCGGCTGCATCTGCCACATGCAGACAGTTGCTAAAGTTATTTGGCGTGTCCTCGCGCGGCCTTTAGGTCACCGGGCAGCGTGGCCGGGTGCAGTCGAGTGCTAGAGGCTGTCCCTCACTGTTCAGGGGCTTCTGGGACAGGGACCCTCGTCCTGGGACACGCCGGTCCTGATTTGAGAAGATGGGTGAGTCTGGTCCACACACTCAGAACAGACAACTCGCTGCTTTCGTTCCAAGCGACAGTGTCTTATGGAAGCAAAAGATTCATCACAAAAATAAACAGAAAACTTTTCATTTTTTTTTGGTACCCAGCATTGGACCCCGGGGTGCTTCACCACGGAGCCACCTCCCCAGGATTGAGCCCAGGGCCTGGTGCTGTGTGAGGTAAGTCCTCTACCAACCGAGCTGCGGCCCCAGCCCCGTCCCCAGCCCTTTTAAATATCTGACCTAGAGCCAGGGTCTTGCTCAGATCTCTTAGAGCCTTGCTAAGTGGCGGAGGCCGGCTTTGAACGTCCGATCCTCCTGCCTCGGCCTCCTGAGCCGCTGGGATGACAGGCATGTGCCACCCAGCCCTGCAGAAAGCTAGTTTTAAAGTGGGGAAAACTCGACCCAATTCGTCCACAATCCCTGTACCCAGAGTGGTCGCTCTGTGGGCACATCATGTGTTTGTGCAAAGGTCTTTATAGAAAACGCAGCCTTGTAAAATTGCTTTACAACACAGTCTGGTGTAACTGTCAAGTCAACCTCATGAACTCACATTGGATGGGATTTCCATGGCCCTGTAAGAAGCCATTCCAAACATACACGCAGTAGGGCCACAGAGGGAGCTTTTGGTCTCAGGACCCGTTTTCACTTACGAACTCATGAAGGACCTCAAAGAGCTTGTGTCACACCAGCCACATCCCATGGACATGAGGTGACCCCCCCCCAAATGTCACAGGAGACAGTGGTAGAACGTTCAGAGGTGAAGACGATCGGTTATGAGAGATGTGACTTAATCAGTGGATTAATCCACTTGAGTGGATTAACTGGGCGGTGACGGTAGGCAGGTGGGGTGTGCCTTTGGGTGCTCTAAGGTCATGCGTAGGGCGCTGTGGCGGTGGGGCGTGTCTGAGGAGGGTGCTTCCCACCAGCTCCTCTTCGTGGCTGATGACCGTGGGCAGGACGGGGCCCTCGACTGTGCGCTGGGCTGAGTGTCGAGCTGGCCCTGGGCTTCCTCCTGGGGAAGGGCCTCACGGCGGCCTGGCCTGCTCACGGGGTCTGGGCGACTCTCCACAATGCCCCCTCTCTACAGAGCCAAGAGGCCACTCTTTCCAAGACGAAGGACTCCCCTTCCCACCCCGTCCTGGGGACAGGAGCCGCCCCTGGCTGTCGGCCGTGACCCCCGGAACGTGGCCTGGCTGGCTCCTCTGGTCACCCCCCGGGGTACCCCTCGGTTGCCTAGTGTCCACCCGTGACAGTCAGGTGGCTTTGCCCCATGGCCGAGTGTGGCTTCGGTTGGCTTCTGAGCAGGCGCCTGGGCCCGGGTTTCCGCCTGACTGTGCGCCCCGGCTTCCAGAGACCCTGGGAGTAGTAGTGTCCGCCACGCTCACCCGCCATCCCTCCATCCCGTTTCCTCTGGCTCGTTCTGGATGCCCATTAAAACTCGGTGGAGGGTCAGAACGTGGACCTGGGGTTGGGAGAGACTCCCAGGCACTGGACCAAGCCCTCCGCCACACCAGGTCCAGCTGGGGGTGGGCTGTTTAAAAATGGAGTCCTGCCTTGGGTTCTGCTGGGCCTCCGAGGGGAGGCCAGGGCTGGTGGGCAGATGGCCTATTTTGAAGAAGTGACTCTGGGAAAGGGAGAGACAGCAACAGAGAGGGTGAGCAAGGCCAATCCAGGGCGTGTGGGGACGGCGGCTGCTAGGGCTGGGCCTCCCTGGGCACGGTGCAGAGGGCACAGTCTGGTCTGTTCGGAGTATGGGGGAGGGTCCGCTCTGTCCCCACCTGGTGAGTTGGCTCCAGGTTCTGGAGAGCTGGCCCCATGGTCCTGGAGGGGCTGAACCGAGCCGCGGGCCGCCCCGGAGCAGCACTGCGAAGGGAAGATCCACGGCCTCCCCTGGCCTTGCCCACCTCGTGTGCACAAAGTGGATGCCAAGAGGTCGAAGCGACAAGACTATTCCTTCGTGGGCCGAGGCCCTGCGTGGAGAGCTCGGTGGCTGGGGTCAGGGGGTGACACTGGGCGGAACCCCTGCCTCCCGGCCTGGCTGCAGCACCGCCACATCCACCTGGGCCGTCCTGGGCAGTGGGACTCCTCAAGTGCTGGGCATTGGAACTGCTTCCTAGGGGGCCACGTGGCCCTGCTAGCCAGAAGGAAGGGAGGTCATGATGAAGACGGGGAACAGTTAGGCAAAGACGGAGGGGATGCTGGGGGATGGGGCGGGTGGAGGGGAGGCCCCAGAGGCCCCAGGCTGGACAGGGGACCCACCTGCGTGAAGTCTGCCCACCGGCCACGCCCGGACACTGGGCTTCTCGTTCAAAGCTGAGTCCAGGAAGGACCCATGGAGAGCGCTGAGCTGGCTTCAGGCCAGGAAGGGAGACACGGTGCCCTGGACTTCCGGAGTGGGCAGTGGTCACTGGGAGTCCTTCCAGCCCAGACCCTGCAGAGAGGCAGCAGGGATTTCCCAGGGCGCAGGCCAGTTCCCCAGGGAGGAGGCACGTGTGCAGGTGGCCACAGGGCGGAGGCTCCTCCTGAGTGACCACACACTCGTTCCCCACCCAGCTGTCCAGACACCATCTGAGGGAGAGGGGCAGCCCCGCGGTGTCCCCGCCACAGGACTGCCCAGCGCTGCCCTGACAGCCGGGGAGAGGGCAGGAGGACCCTGGGGGACGGGCCTCCTGCCTGGGGAAGCAGGCCGAAGCCCAGACGCTCACGGGCAGGCGGCTTGTTGGGGCTGACCCTGGGGAGGAGGTCGGGAGGAGGACAGGCAGGTGCGTCCTGCCCGCTGTGGACCCTCCGTGAGCTGCTGGGACGGGCCCCAGCTTGTGCAGGGGACCCCCACACCCGCTCGGCGCACGCCTGGCCCCGTCCCTGGGTGGACGGGCTGGTCAGCGTCAGCTCTCCAGAACGGCTCGTCAGCCATCGCACCGGACAGTGCTCACGGCTGGGTGGGGCGAGAGCCCTGCGCCTGGTCTCCCTCTTCCCTCCCCACCCGTCCTGCGGGCCTCTGCTGTCCCCTCCAGGTCTGCCCTGCTCTCCCTGCCCCCCGGTCACCTGCCTCACGGGCAGCACCACTCACCTTCCCGGGAGGCGGGCATCTCAGCGGAGGTTTGATTCGGGTGTTTTTACAAGTTACTGAGTCTGTCTCTCTTGCTGAAAGAAGACTTGTCCCACGTTGGTCACCAATTCCCTTCTCAGACCCCAGGAGGGCACCTCGCGGACGACGCTTGGTAAGACGCTTCTTCAACGAGAGAATGACGGTCCGCTCCAGAGACCTGAGAGACGGGTTTTCCCCCCGAGGCTCAGAGAGGTCGAACACCCAGCTTGGGGTCACACAGCCAGTGAAGGCCAAGGCGGGACTTCACCCAGGGTCCATCTGGCCTCAACCCGGGCCTCACGTCCCGCCCGGCAGCCCTCCAGCATGACCCTTGCCTGGCCCTGTCCTGCGCCTCTCATCCGCCCCTGCCCGCCTCACCAGCCTGTGCCCTCAGCCCTCTGACCCCTCCAGCTGCCAATCCTGCCCTTGGCGAGCGCGTGGGAGGCCATTCCGCAGTCTCCTGGCTGCCCGGGCTGCTCGCCATCTGCCGCGGTGGCAGGGTGCCCGCTGAGAAGATGGCAGGCTATTTTTACCCAGCCGAGGTGCCAAGACGGGCAGATGTTCCTCAGCCGCAGAGGGAGGCTGGGCACGGCGGGGGGGTGGGGGGCCCTGGCCTGGCGCGGAAGGCTCTGCCCGCCAGTGGACACCTCCGGAAGTGTCCTCCTGCACCTGTCGGGGCTCCTGCGGCGGGCTCTGAACCCACGGCCTGTGACGTGCACAAGGCGGGGGGTGACGGTCCGCCACGGGAGGAGACCCCCGGTCAGCAGGGAGCACATGTCCTTCCTCCTCCTCCTCCTGGGGCCTGGACTCTCCCAGGTAGCCACGCCTGCAGGGCTGCTGGGAAAATTCCAGGTCTGGCCGGCTGCCCGGGCGCCGCCCCATCAGGCGAGGCCAGGCTTCTGAGAGATCCTCTTCCCCCGGGAACACACGGGGGGCTGTGGGCTCTGCATCCCTGCCCTGTCCTTCCCAGGAAGGGGTGACCCTCCGTGAGGTCGAACCCTCCAAACAGCAGGCTGTGGGGCCCAGCCCGCTGGCACCCTGTTTCCATTCCTTCCCAGCTCCTGAGCTGTGTGGCCTTGGGGAATTCCCGACCTCTCTGAGCCTCAGTGAACCTCTTCTACGAACCTCCACGGCCCCTCCCCTCCAGGTCTGGGAATCCCGCTTCAAAACGTCCCCAGGAGCAGCCCTGCTCAGACATGTTCTGGGTCCCCAGGGCACACGTGGGACCACGGGCTCCCGAGCAGAAGAAGCCCCTGGAGGCCCCGAGTCCCAGCTCCTGGCAACTGGATCTGCCAGCGACAAGGATTAAAGGTGCTCAGCGCCCGAGACGGAAGAGGAGCCCGAGAGCCCAGTGGTCCACCATGGGCTTCAGCGTTGGAGGGGGAGGCCACGTGGAGAGACCCGGCCATGCAGCGAGGCTGCTGGACTTCAGGAGAAGGCGAGGAGACGGCGGTTCCCGGGAGCTCTGGACGGACTGCAGCCCTGCAGATGCTGTGGACGTGTCCAGGTGAGGCCGTCTCGGGCTCCGGGGACGTAGACCTTACGGTGCATCCGTGGGGCTTTGAGCCTCGCCGTCTCTGGTGGAGCCAACGCGTTTCCACCCGCGTCCAGCAGAGCTGAGGCCCCGGCCCAGGCCACACTTGGAGCAGCCAAACCTGAGGGTGCCCGTGCGGGGCTCACGCCTGCACCCGCGAGGACCTGGAGTGGACGCTGGCTCTCCACCCCGAGGTGTTCTTGTGTCCTTCTTCCTCCCCAGGCACAGGCTATCGGAGGTCCCCCGGGCGTCCCTCGACATGTGCCCAGTCAGGGGCTGCTGGTGTGTGTGGGCTTTGGTCCCCGGGAGAGCGGAGGTCAGTCCAAGGGCCGCTGTCCCCTGCGGGTGCCCTGAGCAGGGGTCTTTCTGGCCTGGCCGTCCCAGGGCCTCTGCGGGCGTTTGTGTGGGTATGTGTGGCCCTTGAAATGAGAGCTTCGTCCTGGTTTGGTGGCCCTGGGGCGGTGACCTGGAGGGAGCGGGCCTCTGGTGGACATGAGTAGAAGGGAGACCTGTGGGTTCTCGGGCTGGCGTGACTGGCTTCTGGGGCCGAGTCCACTTGGTTCTTCATCCGCTAGGTCCTGCCCTGGTCACTGTGTGCCCTCCATGAGCCCGACAGGCACCGCTGGCCCCAGGAGCTGGAGGTCCAGCAGGAGGGGCCGACACAGGTCCACGTGCACGTGGCTGCCGTGTCCCGTGATCGCGGCTGCACTGGCGGGGGACGTGGCAGGGAGGGCGCGTGACAGCGTGCGGCTGGGTGGGTTTTACGAGGACACTTTAACCAACTCTTGACCAATGAGAAACACGCGGAGGCCAGAGGAAGAGGCTGGCCCTGGGCGGTGGCCAGTGTGAGGCCACTGTAGTGGGAGACCCGGGCCTGGGGCGCCCAGCAAGTAGGTTGTGGCTGTCGGGCCACGAGGGACACGGCCTCACGAGCCCCTGCAGCGTCCGAGCAGAGGCCGGATGTGACCCAACTTGCCGGTCGGGCATCGCTTGGCTGCTGGGTGGGACTCAGGTCAGGGGCCGAGGTCAGAGCTGGGCGGCCAGGGAGCAGGTGCTGGGCTCGGAGGATGGGGGCCCAGGGTTGCAGACGAGGGGGGAGAGGGGCCATGGCCGGGTGCACTTGAAGGCCAAGGACAGGACGTCCCCAGAGGTGGACGGGGTGGGGGGGATGAGAGGAGGAGCTGGGCCGGAGGCACCAGGGTGGACGTGGTCAGAGTGGCCAGAAGAATACCACGGCCGTGCCTGCGGGTGGGGAGAAGTCCACCTTCGCACGGTTTTTGACGGCTGGCCAGGGTCTGCAGGGGGTCAGCGCTCGGCCTCAGTCCCAGCTGTGGGAGCCGCCCGGTGACCCTGCTCATGGTGGCTTTTCCCTGCAGGGCACCTGTCTGGCCCCTTAGGGGACCTCGGGACCGACATGAATAGCCCGCGGTCCTCAACCTGGACCACGTGTCGGAGTCACCCAGAGGGCCATTAAGTCAGGGGCTGGGCCACC